AAATCGAGACGCCGGATGCCTGGGAAAACAACAAAAGGTTCTTAGAACATGCCTTGGTACTGCAGGTCCGTGCCGTGTCGACCCTGGCGTTGGTTCCTGACACCGCGCTGGATCGTTCAACCTTGAACGATCGGCCGTCTCCGCAACGTCCGATCGTTCAACATCGACCGATTCTGGGCCGCCGTCGGCGTTCAACGTTGAACGTCGGCGGCGGGGTCGCCGCCGGTCGACACGACGCGAACCTACCGTAGCCCTATAGGCGCGACAGGACGCTTCGCCTCTGCTCGAGGGGTGCCCGTCCCGGCGGCGCGGATGCTCGCGCGGGGGGGTGGCGCCGCGCGCGGCCCGGCGCACGGGGGCGCGGCCTGCGGCCGAGCGGCTCGTCGTCGTCGTCGTCGTCGCCGTCGCCGTCGTCGTCGTCGCCGTCGTCGTCGTCGTCGCCGTCGTCGTCGCCGTCGTTGTCGTCGTCGTCGTCGTCGTCGCCGTCGTCTTCGTCGTCGCTCTCGTCGTCGTCCTCGTCGTCGTCGTCGTCGTCGTCGGCGAAGATCGAGGATCGAAGGGTCGTGGATCGCTGATCTACAAAACCTCGGGACGACCTTTGTTCCCCTTTTAGACCTCCAGAGGCCTAATTACACCCTGCCTTCCACTCCTCGTGCGCAAAATGCATCCCAGCACCCTTGGTAACCATGGGGCCCCTCCTTTGACAGCGCAGCGCCCGAGGGGCCCGCGATTCATGCGACGCCCGCGTTTTGTGAAGGAACCGCCCTTGTCCTCCTGGCAGACAAAAGGGCCTCGAGGTGCGGCCATCGTTGCTCCAGAAGAAGGAACGACGAACCAGGTGAACGAGGCGGAGGGGAAGAAAGGGAAGATGAGGAGGGGGGTGAGGAGGAGGAGGATGAGGAGGATGAGGATGAGGATGAGGATGAGGAGGCAGGAGGAGGCAGGGGGAGGAGCAGGAGGAGGAGGAGGAGGAGAAGGAGGCAGGAGGAGGAGGATGAGGATGAGGAGGAAGAGGAGAAGGAGGAGAAGAAGGAGGTGGAGGAGGAGGTGGAGGCGCTGCTCTGGCCACGGCGAGCCTGCGCCACGACCCGCGCCTGGAGGCACGGCCCGACAGCTGGAGCCCCTCCTGAGCTCAGAGTGGCTCTTACATCAGCGTCCTGACTGAACAGTGGTGGTGGGCTTGTTTTCCACCGCCACCACCAGAAGTAGAGGGTCCTCCTCCTCCTCCTCCTCCTCTTCTTTCTCCTCCTCATCCTCCACCTCTTCCCCCCTCCAACTTACGGTGGTGGTGGTGGAAAACAAGCCCATCAAATCGGGGCCCGGCCACATTGAAGCATTACACAAGAAACCCAACCCCGAGACCCCAGGACGTCCACCGACGTTTTTTTGGTGTCGGAGCGCCACGCTTCCCATCGCACACGCCCGTCGAAGCCCAGGGCACCCTGGAGGCAAGCAGGGTGTTTCTTGGCATGGGTTTCCGCTGCAAGGGGGGAAACGACTGGGGGGGGGACTGGCCCCGAGGGGGGAGCGTGCACCCGACATCGGCGGTGCGCCGCCGACGCATCGGCGAGGAGCCCCCCGAGGTGGAACCCGCCCGTTCCCGAGCGGCGCGGGCCGTCGGGCCCCGCTGGCGATGAATGGGCGCCTGGGGGTCGATGCCTGCCCCCCCCCCCCTGAGCCCGCAGTGCGGGCGCGGCCGCAGGAAACCCTCGCGAGACACCCCGCCCCGAAACCCACCATCGCGATGCGCAGGTGGAGAGGCGCCCAGGAGCGCCCGGAACGCAGCGGCTCCTTCGGCGGCCACGGGAAGCCACCGATCGGCGCGCGGAGCGCAGAAGCCTGGGGTACCCTGACGAGAAGCATGCCGTTTCTCGATGCGCGCCCCCGCTTGCCCGGAGGAGGAGGAGGAGGAGGAGGAGGAGGGGGAGGAGGAGGAGTGAGGAGGAGGAGGAGGAGGAGGAGGAGCAGAGCAGGAGGGAGCAGGAGGAGCAGGAGGAGCCAGGAAGGAGGAGGAGGAGCAGAGGAGGAGGGGCGGTGGGGGGGGGAGGAAGAGGAGGAGGGGGGAGGAGGAGGAACGCGCCGAGGCTGCAGCGAGGGGGCGGCAGGGCTTCTCTCCGCTCGGGCGTCCCCTCCCCGTGCGCGCGTCGGTTCCGCGCGTCGCCTCTCTGGCCCGATGGGCGAGGCTGCTCCTCGAAGGCCCTCGCCAGGAAAAACATGCACAAGGCCGGGCGATGCCAGGAGAGCGCTTTGGGTCGGCGATGCGTTGGCCTGGGTCTATGCAAGCCTGGGTCAGTCGGGCTCTGAAGGTGGTGGGCCTGTGTTCTACCACCACCACCATGAGTTGGAGGGGGAAGGAGGTGCAGGATGAGCAGGAGGAAGAAGAGGGGGAGGACCCCCTCCCCCCTCCACCTTAGAGATGAGGTGTTACTGTGGCCCGTTGGTTGTCAAGGCGGCTCGGTGGGTGTTAGTATGGCACGGGTTCCTCCGGAGGGTATCAATCAACAAGTACCGTCCCCCCCATTCACCGAAATGCCTATCAGAAGAGCCTCTGGGGGCCGCCGACAACCTCTTGGAGCCGCCGAAGAGCCTCTTGGGTTCCCCGAAGAGCCTCTTGGAGCAGCCGAAGAGCCTCTTGGGCTCTCCGAAGCCTTCAGGGCCTCCAAGGAGCCACCCAGAGCCTCCCATTTCTCCGCACTCCATCGCACTTCTCCCCACTCCTCTGCACTTCACTCCATTCCTCCCCCCTCTCCGCATTCTTCCCCACTCCTCTGTACCTTTCCACACTTCACCGTACTCCTCGGCAG